AAAAAAAAAAAAAAAAAAAAATGAGAGAGGCACAAATCTGATTCCAGGCAACAATAAAGTGGCGATTTTCAGAAACCACTAGTCAGTAGAACATAAAGATGTGGAATTAGGCCAAAGCCTTGGGACAGAAACCATTTAGAATTAGAGGGGCATCACTGGATTTTCATTAACATTTACACTCAGTGTGTTACAAGAGGCTACTGCCGTCTAGAGAACCTCTGGAAGGTAATTTTCCACTGAAGTCCTCTAGGCTGCTGCTCTGTTCTGGCATATTCTGAGATGCATACACAATCGCTACGCTTAAGAAAGGTTACCGGACAAGAGCTACCCTCTTCCAGCCCCCCCGCCCCCCCCGCTTTCGTTTGCATAACCACAGAAACGCATACATAACTCTGCGACTCTTCCCAAGTTAGAGCCAAAAGGGACCGGAGAGATCGTCCGACCCAAGTCTTCAATCCAGCAGGAAGGAAGCCAGCACCCAGAGGGGTACAGCCTCCGGGACACGGTCACACAGCAGGGCACGCGGCTAGCCAGGCAACAGCCCAAACTCAATGCCGGTCTCGCAAAAGCTCTGTCACGTGTTGTCACAACTGCATGCTGCCCTCCTCACGCTTCACCAGAAATACCAACAAGAGTAGGATGAGCTAACGCCAATGCACACCCACCACACGCGCTGCTCTGGGCACCGGGGGGCACAGAGGTAAGCCCGTCAGTCTTCACCACAGCCCTGACACGGAGGCCGTTGTAAACCACTTTGATGAGGAGGATACGACAGAGCCAGCTTATGTCACTGGCCCCAAATCAGAAAGCTGACAGAGAGGGCTGGGGATTCAAACCCAAGAGAGTCCGACCCCAGAGCCCTGCGGTAACAAACACCCAATTTACAAAGTGGATAGCATCCAAATGTGTATTTTTATACTGGCCTTTCTGTGCAAGCATTTTCCTAAAGAAACGATGCAAGAAATCCCAGACTAGAGGCGCCTGGGTGGCTCAGTCAGTTAAGTATCCGATGACTCTTGATTTTGGTTCAGGTCAGGATCTCATGGTTCTTGAGTTCTAGCCCTGCATCGGGCTCTGCACTGACAACATGGAGCCTGCTTAAGATCCTCTCTCTCCCTCTCTCTCTCTCTCGCTGACTCTCTCTCTCAAAATAAATAAATTTTAAAAAAAGAAAGAAAAGAAGAAATCCCTGACTAGGCCACAGCAGTGTTCCCACCAGGTAAGAGCACTATAGACCAATCTGAATGCCGAGCTCTGGGAGAGAGGCCTTCCCGAGCGCCCAGCGAGCAGGTTCCTCCTCACTTTGGACGAATGGGCTGCCCTGAGCGAGACACAGCTCTTCTCAACCCCTTCTCTGCAGTCCCTCCTCCTCGCTTGAGGTCTCTTCCCGGGACCCTCACCCTGCCTTTACTGCCCCTCAACTCCCACATGCGATCCTACCCTGTCCAAAACCCAGGGCTCCACACCAAGAGCAACCTTCTCTCCAAACTCTCAATCCCCCCGTCCAACCTCCAGGTCTTAGGAGGAAAGATCTCCCTCCCACTAGTTCACGTTAACGTGTGAACTACTGATATCTACGCTCAGGCTTCCCCAGAGCAAAAAGGTGTTGACTACCTAAAACACTCTCTGATGGGTAGAATTCCAGAAGAATATACCAAAATCAAGTTTGGGGAGCTGTGCGATAGAGCAGAAATTACTGAAGGAGAGCCCCGTGTGGCCCAGGAGTCTGTCCCTCATCGTTGTTTGTGAAGATAACAGCAGCCCAGCCCCCAGAGAGTAGCAACTCTGTGCGAGCTCAATGCTTCACCTGTATGACCCCGTTCAGCCTCAGAATACCTTTCTGAGGTAGGTGCAATTATCATCCCCATTTTACCGAATAGAAAACTGAGGCCCAGAGAGGTGGGCCTCACAGCTGTCAGACAGCAGGACTAGGAGGTGAACCACGGCAGCCCAGCTCTGGAGCCCATGCTCGGAACTGCTGAGCGATACCGTCACTCCATAAATAACTACACACATAACTACCACTTCTAGAACACCGACCGGATGTGAGTCTCCTAAGGCACTCCACGTGCATGACTTCACTTAATCTTTCCTACAACACCGTGATTCAAACACTAGCATTATCCCCATTTTACAGAGGAGGACACTGATGCTTTACAAAAGTTTCTTCCTCACTTGTTCAAGGCGCAGAACCGGATCAGAACACAGGCAACCTAACTCCAGAACTTACAGGGAAGGCCTGACATTTCTGGCTATCTTCTCCTCTGCTTCTGACGCCAACGGTATCTAGAAATCCCAGGGGACTGGTTTTGTTTTGTTGTCTTTTTCTGGTTACGTTACTCTCTGTTCTTTTCAGAATGGCTTCCACGGCATCAAGGCTTGGGGAGGGAGGAGAAGGGTGTAGGGTTCGAGGCTCACCAGGGCAGCCGCTCCAGGAGCCACCCCCGCCGTGGCAGCAAGCCCGTTCTGAGTGAGCAGGGGCTGTGCCGGCCACATGCTGGTGAGAGGACGCCCCTAAGAATGGCACCTGTGCTCACGACACGGCCGATCCCCAACCGCGCCTGGTCCGAAGTCACGATGACGAATCGAGGTTTGGGGGGCACTGTGTGCTTAATGAGTCTGTGGTCCCCAAGCACGTATCAGAGAGAAGAACTAATTCCTCTCTCAGGGGCGGGCCTGGTGCTAAGGCAAATGCTAGGAACAGAAATCGGGTACTGACGATACACAGAGACAGATAACCCCCAAGAGACTGATGGAACTCTCTTCCCAGTTTTCACACCACTGCCAAAATGACAGCTGCCACACAGCACCTGACATCAGGCGCTGTAGCTCAAATTAGCCTGACTCGGTCGACTCCAGAAGACTGCTATCAAGCCCCATCCCCTCCGAAGCACCTGCTGTCGACCCGGCCCTCTCAGAAAGGACACATGGGCGACAAGCGTTGTGGATAAAACTGCTAACCTCAGCCCTCAAGGAGCTTACCATCAGTTCCTCAACCGACCTCAGGCTGTCCTTCCAAATTACCCTTCTGGAAGCCAGCCCTGGCCTCCATCACAGGATCTCAGAAATGCCTCTCATCTCCACGTAGCGCATCTGGATTGCTCAGTAATGGCCAAAAATGGCAATGTCCTTATCGTACTTCATCAAAAAACACGAGCAAGCAAACCGCAAAAGGGGTTGTAAATTAAAAATTCAAGAGAAGAGGCTTTTCTTTTTTCTTTCATTCATTCAGTGAATTTTAACGGAATGCTTGCTGTGTGCCAGGCGCCTTGCTAGGTGCTGGGGACGCCCAGCAGGGAACAGGACAGACGCGGCGCCTCCTCAGGGACGTGGAAGAGGCTCAATCTAAAACAACCCCACCCCCGTTAGCTCCAAGATGAGGACACATGAGGAACACCTTCAAGGATGGATCTGAGCGAGGCAAACGTAACAGCAGCTTCAAGCCATTTAATTTAACTAAATGCTGGTAGGAATGGTCAGGGAGGCAGGATGGAGGAAAAGCCTTCAGACTTGCCAGCGGAATGTTCTCGGAATAGAAAGCAGCTCTTGCTCTAATAAAAATGAGAAATGAAGCAGGTGGAAACCTCGAAGGCAGCAGCAGCACCTTCCTTGGCGCCCATTTCCCAACCCCGCCCCCCCCCCCCCCCACACACACACCCCAAAAGTGACCCTTCAGGGTCTTCTCTGCTTCTGCTGTCACCTGGGAAAGGCTGCGACCTTAGCCAGCGTTTCAGGCAAATGCACAAGCAGCCTCTGCCACAAACAAACGAAAAAAGTCAGAGTCAGAAAGAACAGCCTGGTGACAGGAGGCTGGAAACCTCCGGGGAGGGGTCTCCGGAAGAAGCGTGGTGTAACCCGCAGCATATCTGAGCATAATCGGCCACAGAACGTCCACGTGGACCACCTTACGGCAAGGACAGCGTGGAGGCCAATTATTTTGTGCCCTCCTCAAGAGAGCCTGTCATCCCTCTACAGAACAATCGTCTATAGGTGCATGATAGTTAAAAGCTGAAGTCTGTCCCCAGTTCAGCACGGAGAAAGTGCTGCTCACAGCAATTTGCCATCATTTCATTAGATTAGATTAATTTTTAAATGTGTTATCCTAACAATTATGCCAACTACCATGTAATTAATATTCCAACTGACTTTACGAAAATTACAAAATCCCCTAAAGAAAATCATTAGTCATTAAGCATGAACGCGACCTCTCTATGGCCAACAGCACATACAACAGAAAGTTCGTCACATAACGGGTGGTATTAAAGCCCTTCCCACACTTCCTTCAATTCTCAGCCAACAGCGTGCAAAGCTGACATTGGCAAGTCACCCCAAACTTCACTTAACATATGAATGCGCTTCCTGGTTTAAACTCTTTGAGGGTAAAATGATGAATGAGGAAGGCTTCAGCGACGAAAAGGCTCTTTTCGTTTGTAGGAGGGGCAAAATAAACACACGTGATTGCTTGCTGCCTCCATATCCCCAGCTGGAAATTAGAATACTGGCTTATTTCTTGGGGCTGCTTCCTGAGTTTATCAAAGAAATGTACACAAGGCATCCTTACCGTCGCTTCTCTCTTTCAAGGCTTCGTGTATTCTTGCAATCTACCTTAAATCCTTTCTAGAGTAAGGTAAGGTATAAATAAGTCATAGTCAAATGGGACATTATCTATCGCGATGGAAGTAAGAAACCTGTTTTCCCTGCAGCCCACCTTGGAATAATTGGCAGGGGCCCCTGAGTCCCAGAACAGAGCTGTGAGCCCCTGCATGACCTCAGCAGGAAGGAATGCAGAGGGTGATTAGTGATGTCTGTCCGGGACGAGAGCAATAGTTTGGGGGCCCCCGCAGACCACGTGTCTGTCAACTCCATCTCTCAACAAACCATTATAAATTAGCAAAACGCGTACAGATTCACGAATGAAAGCTAACGTGTGAACTGCTCCTAGGGCGAACGCTGAAGGGGAAAAATGTTTTCTGTAGTCGGAAACCTTATGCCAAAATGGATTAAGGCATCAAATCTGGAGGAAAAGAACGCTGACCTCAGTCAGGAAACGCAAATTCTCGTCTAGCTGTGAGGCCGTGAGCAGGTCAGTTCAGTGGGCCTCAAGGTGCTCAGCTTTAAAATAAGGGTTAAACTACACATCTCTCACTCATACTCTGTTTCGACTGATCAATGGTACGAGCAGCCCCAAACCGCCCCTCTGCTGGGGCACTAGGGAGCTGATGAAAGAACTCTACTACGAAGGCTCACCAGGCCCAGAACAGAACTAAAAACCTCTCCATCTCTCACACGGCTTGTGTGGGATTTACCATCTATTTTCATCTGTAGCATCTCCAGGACAAGAAGTTCCATACACCTCATAGTTATTTTCCTTAATACAACCTCTTCTCTAGCTTGGAGCAAGGGGAAGGGTCGGGAGCAGGGACGTTTATTTCAATACACTATTAAATTTGGCGAACAAGCACACTGCCTTCATTCAAAAGTCAAGTGCCATCGCCTCGATTAGAAACCAGTCACTTCCCCTGGAGTCCCGGTCACTCATGGTTTTGTGAGCAGCCTAAGTTTTCCTGCCACCGAAAAGTCTCCATAGCTCTAGCCTATTCCAAAAACATTACCCACGTGATACACCAACACAGCTTCCGTGTCCAAACACCAAAAAGCAAGACTTTCTACCAGGAGTCCAACCAGAAATAAGTCACACATACGCCTACTGATCAGACCCCACCCAATCCCAGGGTAAACTCATGGAAGGGTGACCTACAGTGCCCCTGGGAAAACAAAGAGCCTCAAACAGGACAGCCAGATAGGGCAGTGTTGTCTGCGTGGGGCTGGAACAGGCTCGCGCCTGGCTACGGCAATGAAATAATTTTTATTTGCCCTGCACCCCCTCCTTTTGGGAACTGCCTCTCCAACTCCAAGGAGCCCCACTTCCTGTGCTTCAGGTGATCTGTAACAGCCAATCAGAGAATCTCGCTCCTGGACTCACGGCCTGTTTAGATAGGAGCCACCTACCAAGCAGGGCTCAAATCCCTTTTCAGGGTCTGGTGTGACAGCAGGAGATCACCTGCTACAAGAACCAGGCAAATCTACAACTGCCAGGCCGTCTTGTCCACCCTCACAGGCGTCAGGCCAACACAGGAAAGCAGGCCTAGAGACAACAGGAGAGGGACAGTCCCCATACCAACTGGGTGCCCGGATCCTCAAGACCCAACTGGGTTTCTATCCATGGCAGCCCAGAGTTTGGGGGACAACCCCTGCGGGCTAAGGGTTCGTGTCAGAGGTTCAAGTTCTCTTTAATGCCCCCCAGCACAAATCACTTCTCCCTGAATCTCAGACTTAGCTGCTAGAGTTCTACCTCAAACCGAAGTGTATTAAATACTGTTGAGAAACTCAAAGAAAAAATTTTGCTCGCCGGATAAACCATCAGTGCTCATCTGCATCCAAGACAGAGGGGGGAAAGGACCACAGAAAAGAGGGAAAAGATGATGGATAACTGGAGGGGGCGAGAGCAGCTCCCTATCAATAACTGTGAGAACCACCGTTTCCAGAGCAGTTGCACAGTGTAATGAAGAAAGCTGATTCCAAACACATATTCTAATTCTTTATCAGCAAGGGAAAAAAATACACAACAACCCGAAGCACCCAAACAAAAGGAACTTGTCAGTAAACAGACTGTTGCCAGGCTTATGAGCCTAATTGTTGTCGTTATTTTTAGACTCTAGTTTAGTCTTCCCTTCACAGCTGTCCCAGGGTCTAGGCCACAGACCTGCCTGCTGACGGAGGCCTTGAGGAGCAAGTTCCATGGAGCGTGTTCAGAACAATCTCCCTCAGGGGCGCCTGGGTGGCTCAGTCGTTGAGCATCCGACTTCAGCTCAGGTCATGATCTCACAGTTTAGTTTGAGCCCCGTGTCAGGCTCTGTGCTGACAGCTCAGAGCCTGCTTTGGATTCTGTGTCTCCTTCTCTCTCTATGCCTCCCCCACTCATGCTCTGTCTCTCTCTCTCTCTCTCAAAAACAAATAAATAAACATTAAAAAAAAATTTTAATAAAAAAAAAAACAAGCTCCCTCGAGTGCAGTCTACAGTAATTAAAGAGTAGAGAATAGTCTGACAAACACTACTCTCGCGATGTTCTTCCAGTGACCACAGGGGAAGACAATACAAGCAACATAAACAGCATCAGTGGCTGAACATTCAGACCACCAGTCCTTAACCTTCTAGGGGTCATGGATGCTTCCAAATCTGATGCAAGCTGGGAAGTCTTCCCCAGAGGGGGGAAAAAAAACACACACAACACAACATCATATGATTTCAAGGAGTTCTCAAAAGCTGCTCCCCACACCAGGTCTCCAGGTTAAATGTACCTGACTTAAACCTTCTTAAAAAGGAATTGCAAGCACCATGATGAATCCTCAAGATTCAGAGGACTATGAAATAGCTCATAGAGAAATTCCAAATCTGTAACCCCAGGCTGAATCAAGAACTAACAAACCCCCCCCCCCCAAAAAAAAAAGAAAAAAGAAAGACTTACCTTCACCTTCTGCATTTCTGAAATGTAAGAAAACTCAGCTTTTTCTCTATTAGCTCCCTTTCTGACATGTCTCCCACCTTGTTTGACCATTTATATGCTTGAAGGAGTTGGCTATAGAGAGGAGTTTTGTCCTGCACAGGATCCAGGCTTAACAGCCCACTGTTATGGAGAGGATGGTTCCTCCCATTTGCCTACCAAATTGCTCCAGGCGGCTCCAGCTCACTGGAAAAGAAAGAGATAAAAGTAAATAAACCTGACTCCACTGTAAAACTCCAATTCTTAACCACATTGGTTAAAAAAAAAAAAAAAAAAAATTTAAGAAGTCTCTTAGAGGAAATACTGTGAGTTAACATCAGGGACAATTAAAGAAAACTCCCTAACTGGGAACTTGTCTTCTAAAAACCACAGATCATTCAGTACCTGAATAAATGGTAATTATTTATCATTCACGTAGGAAGAGACTAGATGCGTGGTACTTCACAGATGGTGAAACTTAACAAAACAAGAAGAATAAAATAAACAAATGGAGCGGAAGACACCACCGAGGGGCTGTAGTCAAACACTGGTCCTAGCAGGAAAACTTCGAGAGAAGCCTGGAAAGTGAGCCAGCAGCACATTCCAGGGCACATTCTGTGAGGCCAGTCTCAAACTGTTCAACAAAGACTCTCTAGGAACAGCTTCTCATACCTTACACTCATTTTGGAATGTTCAGCCACCTTCTTGGCACCACCGTGTAAAGATTTTAAAAGCGACGAGCATAAATGTTGCTGAACGACGGTGGTATAAGACCCCGAACATTACCAAACGAATCCAGAGAGGAAGCATAGAGACATAAGGAGTAGCCAGGGGCACCTGGGTGGCTCAGTCGATTGGCGTCGACCTCAGCTCGGGTCATGATCTCACAGTTTGTCAGTTGGAGCCCCGCATCGGGCTCTGTGCTGTCTTCGGAGCCTGGGCCTGCTTCCGATTCCGTGTCTCCCTCTCTCTGCCCCTCCCCCGCTCACACTCTGTCTCTCCTTCAAAAAATAAACGTGAAATTAAAAAAAAAAAAAAAAAAAGAAGAAGAAGAAGAACAGCCAGTGCAACCCCTCAAGCAGGGGAACTATTAACTGGCACTGCGCCAGAGACAGACAGCAAGTGGATGTGGGAGTTGAGGAGGGGTGATTCCTGGCTTCCCTGCAGAATACCAGCAGGAAAAAAAAAAAAAATCAAAAGAGGCACCCATCATTTGGTCACCACCTCCTCCTCCATTCTACCTCCTCCTTCCAGCTGGTTACTAAGGAAACCAAGTTGGGGGGGGGGAGAATCCAGCCATTCCAGAAATTGTAGGATGACTATCTTACCAAATGCCTTTCCCTGCTAAGGTCAGTTCTGAGAAGCAAAAGTCCTGTAAGTCTCTGAGAAGTGTCACTCTCTTAAGGAAGGGAGGAGAAGTTCAGGACCTAACCATTTAAAGGGTTCCTACTGTGTGCTGGGCTTTTCACAATCACCCTTTCACTCAATTCTTCCACAACACTTAGAAAATAGAAGAAAATGACTTGTAAGAAAGAGAAAGAAACATACAATCCTTAACCCTACAGGGCCACGAATTAATACGGGGGGAGGGGAGTTAAACATAGGTGACTGAGCTGGTGTAGGCTGAGATCAGGTCTCTCCAGAGGAAGAAACTGACCAGGAGCAGAGTGGGAAGGAAGTCCTGATCAGGTGGTTTGGGAGGGGGCGGGGGCGCGGGAAAGGTACAGATCAAGGCCTGTTTTATCGTGTTTGGAAGTGGACTAGAGTGGACCTGGTGGTTTCCAGGTTCAGGGGCGAGGCACTGGTGCTAATCAGACCGAGCGCACTTGGGTTTGGGGCAGCGCTGAGCTGGTCCCGTTTGGCAGTACTTGATCAGACACGGTGGGGCACAGAGGGCCTACAGGTGAGAAACCTGCGAAGCGGAGGTGTGAAGTGGAAGTTCGTGGGAAGAGCACGTCTCCTCGTCAGGAACCGAACGACCACACGGGAGGTCCAGGGCGGCGGGAGGCAGCCAGGAATAGGAGGCCAAGAGAAGGGAGACGAGAAAGCGGGGGTGGGGGACGAGGTGTCCCTGAGGAACAGGCATGGGCTTGGAGGGGAGGGAAAGACAGCAAGGGAGCAAGAAACTGAGAGCAGCCCCAGGTTAGAAAGACTCGCGCGGGGTCGAGACAGGGTGGACACCGGGCGGGGTCCCCGACGCCGGCCCCTTCAGCCGGTACCTACTTGAGGTCCCGGTTGACCGAATGCAAGTTGTCCTGGAAGTGCGCAATGAAGGCCTTCTCCCGGCCCTCCAGCGTCTCCTTGTTCCGCATGCCATCCTTCAGGCAGTCGAACACCCTGCTCACGCTGGAACGCAACGCCTGGATGGCACTGATGGCCTGAGCAAAGGCCTCCAGGTTCACTCCGACACTTAGCACGTCCGCCATGTTGCCGCCGCCGCAGCGGGCTCTCCAAAGCCGGCTTCGTGAGCGAAAGGCCGCGCTCGCTGATGACGCCGGCCCTCGAAGGCCTCTGGGAAATGTAGTTCTCGCGGGGCGAGGCTGCCCAGGTGGTCAATGCCGGCTTAACGTTGTCGGAAAGAGGGTTTCCGTTCAAGTGAACAGATGAGTGGGCAGGAAAGTGAGCGCCTAGATGTGTGGAAGTCAGGCTGCACCCTCGGCTTTCTTAACGGTGACAAGGAAATACAGAAGGTTCCGGCGTTTACCCAATCTTGCGCCCCTGGGAATCACAGGGAAAAGAATTGCTCAGAGCAATAGTGTGCACGGAGTGAAGGATCATGACCCACTGGGTAAAATGAGTCCATATTCTTAAATAAATGAGGGGGAACGGAAATTTCTTCTCTACAGTAGAATACCAACTGATAGAAGTAGAAGAAAGGATGGGGGAAAGTACCATTTAGCAACCATTAGAATAATAATTGATTCAGGTAGGAATCAAGGAATGCTAAACCTGGATGTTTGCACAGCCTCCAAGTATCATCACACCAGACACCTGTTAATTAAGGGTAAAATAATGATCCAGCAATTTCACTGGTTATATACTCAAATTTCTGGTTATATACTCAAGAGAAGGCAAAGTGGGGACCGGAACAGATATTTGTGCCCTCGAGTTCATAGCAGCATTATTCACAATCCCCGAAAGGCTGAAGCAACCCAAGGGAACATCGTGGGATAAGTTCATGAACAACATGTGATATATACGTACAAGGGAATATTTATTCAGCCTTAAAAAGAAAGGATATTCTGACAACCTGGTAAACCTTGAAGACATTATGATAAGTGAAATAAGCAGTCAGAAAAAGATAAGTATTGTATGATGAGATATCTAGAACAGGCAAATTCATAGACAGGGAGTAGAAATGTGGGTGCCAGGGTCTGGAGGAAGGGGAGAATGAAGAGTTAGTGTTCAATCAACAGAGAGTTTCAGTTCCGGAAGATGAAAAAAGCTCCGTGGAGAGTGGTGATGGTTTCTCAACAGCGTGAATGCGCTTAATGCTGCAGAACTGGACACTTAAAATGGTTAAATATAAATTTTACGTTATGCATATTTTACCATAATTCTTGTTTTTTATTTTTTTTTAATTTTTTATGTTTATTTTATTTTTGAGAGAGAGAGAAACAGATCACGAGTGGGGGAGGGAGAGAGAGAGAGAGAGAGAGAGAGAGAGAGAGAGACAGGATCCGAAGCAGGCTCCAGGCTATGAGTTGTCAGCACAGAGCCCGACGCAGGACTTGAACTCACAGACTATGAGGTCATGACCTGAGCCAAAATGGGCTCTCAACAGATGAGCCTCCCAGGCCCCCCTAATTCTTGTATTTTAATTCTGTAATGCAAAAGAGAAGGGTAATACTGACTTCACAGTGGAGCAGCCTGGCACATACTACCCTAGCAAGAGACGAACACTACATCCCCAAACCATCTCCTGATACAATGCCCAGAGAAAAGTGCAACACGAATTCTGGGATATTCCTGCCAAAAATGCACCACCAGAATCTGATCAGGACATCAGACACACTCAAAGACATTTGACAAAATCATTGTGAAATTGTGGAGTTCACCTCAAACCCACTTCCTGAGTAGTTCCCCCACTCTTCCTTCTCCAAGCTCGCTCCCCCACCCCCCAGTCCCCCCAACACCACCTCAATTCAAATCCTTCAGTTGTGGAACAGTAAAGACAAACTCTGCTCAGAAACTGGGCTCTGATGTGGCTCTCCGTGAGTGTTTAGACATTATTTAGATAAATGAATAGTCCCATGAGAAACAAGGGGTATCATTGTCTTGAGTTTACATAATTGCTTCCATTTCCTGACATCTACACCACCTTCATAGTGTTGCCATTGGCAGCTTTTCCTAAGGCGAAGGGGTAAGAGATAGGAGAAACTTCCAGCTGTGGAACCCTGAACAAGTTCCTGAACTCCCGGATCCTCAGTTTTCTCATCTGTAAAATAGAACTACAAATAACACCTAAGTTTAGAAAATAGCTGTGAGGTTTAATAACACCTTGAAGGCAAAGCTTTTGAAATAATGCTTGGCAAGTAATAAATACTCAGAAGATTGTAGCTGCCAGGGGAATGCTGGGAAGGTTTCCCGTGGGTCTGTGACCTGTGCTTCTATCCCCACTTGAGGACTTGGTACAGAATCAAAAGCAAGAACAATGGATCTATTGGGTCCAATGATCTCTAGTGACATTCCCCTGTTGCTAACAGCTTGTCAATTAACTGTGTCCTATAATCCATTATTTCTCTGTGGCCTTTTTATCTCCTTGGGCATATAGGGTTTGGATTTTTGTGTGGTTTTTTTTTAAGATTTTCGTAGCAAATACTTTTTAACTTCATAAAAACGAAAGAAAACATCTGTGTTTGTGGGCCTCTTTTGGTGTTGATTCCTTCTAGGGAAAGATTAGAGAAGTCAAACTCTAGGATCATGGTTACTCACCTTATTGGGTCCCCTGAAGGGACCCTGGCTGTATACTCTGTTCCCGAGGGAAAAAATGTACTAGTCTATTTCTTTTTTCTTTTTTTTTAAATTTTTTAAATGTTTATTTATTTTTGAGAGGGGAGGGAGACAGAACATGAGTGGGGGAGGGGCAGAGAGAGAGGGAGACACAGAATCCAAAGTAGGCTCCAGGCTCTGAGGCTGACTCAGGGTTCAAACCCACACACCATGACCTGAGTTGAAGTCAGACGCTAACTGACTGAGCCACCCAGATGCCCCTGTACCAGTCTATTTCTGCCCATGCTCTATGTACCCACAAACTGGAGATTTTGCATACAATTTTAGGGGGTTCATAGCCCCCCTAAAGCCCAAAGATGGACCTCTGGGTAGAATCATGCTCTAAAGCAAGCACTATGGAGGTATGGCCCAGGGCTATCCTGTAACCAGCAGATCTCCAGTGCCTGGAGCATAAAAGACTCAATGTAAGTTTGTGCAAGCAATGAGTTAACACAATATATTATGTTTGCCTTCTTGGATCCTCCCTCCAAATTACTTCACTTCTTTGTATACTCAGATATCATTTCTCCCTCCTTCTCAGCCCACCTCCCCCGCCCACCCTCTCCCTCCCCACTCCCCACACAATAAGATTTTCCCCTGTCTTATTCTCTGATTCAGTGGTTAAGATACTGATTGGAACAATAAAGCACAAATATGCTCCGCTCCCACAGTCATTCGTTTTCAAGATTTCTCTCTGGCTCCCCTCTTCTGGGAAACTCAGAAAATGATCAGTGGAAATCCACATTTCCCCTGAACCTAGTAAGGAGACTTTCATCACGGCAACAGAAAACTTTTCATTTTGGAAGGGAATGGACAGAGTTTCTCTAAGGTGCCATAAATTCTAGAGAATGGTGGCACATATAGGCTTGCATCTGTGTGTGTTTGTGGGATATAAATTAGTTTAAAAGGAGTTCATTTTGAGCAATATCAGATTTTAATTATTGTGATCTTATGTTTGGGTAAAAGGCAGCACCCTGCTGCTAATATCTTCCAAAATGAACAAGCCATTAGCTTGGTGCTATCAGCTCAAGAGTATTAGAATGAGCAATCAGAATTAAAGTTGTCAGTATTTAATTAAAATATGCAGCAACTCCCATCATATTCAGAGAGCATGTGGTTTAAGCATTCAGACTGAGAAAGCACCCTCATCAATTAATAATTATTAAGGATTTGCTAGATGCAGAACACTGCATTGGACGGTTGGGCAGAATGTCACCAGATAGATTTAAACCCAAATCTGCCTTGGATAAGCCGCAACGTAACTAAGCCACCTGCCGTAATCAGTGTGGCATAATGCTTAAGACCTTGGGGGTTGATCCGAGGATTAAATTGAGGCAGCGCACAGTTCTGGGAACATGGTAGGCATTCAAGTCGGTCGTTCAACAAATATAGATATCTGATGTCTCGACATTTTGTTAAACAGCTGGGGAGCCAGTGGTAAAACCAGGCCCCGTCTGGTCTAGTAAATGTCCCTGAAAATATCTGAAGTGGGTTGTGTGTTTCTCCACATTCACCTGTTTAAGGCTCAGTGCATCAGTTATCTGTAGAGTGCTTAGCATCAGGTTTATTAAAATTAATCTAAAACAAGTATGGTCAAGAATCTTCTCGCGGTCTCTTCTGAACCCAGCCGCACTCCTGTTTTCCTCTTATGTTGCCTGCTGTGATTCTGACATCATGATGATGAGCAAATGGTCTGCAAGGACACAGAGGATCCTGGAGAGGAGGAAATCAGCCTGGACTTGTGTCTCTCAGGCACATGAGTTAACCCTTCTGAACCTCAGACCTTGCATCTAGAGGATAAGGAAGGGGCATCACCTCCAGAACTGACAACCCGGGAGCATAAGATAGGAGGAACATGTCAGGAGTTCAGGAAGGAGGAAAAGAAGAGGACCGCTCCTCGTTAATGCCGATCACAACCACCGTACCTGGATTCCCGCACTCTGATTCATTCTCTTGCCCAGCGACACTCACCGAACAGAAGGATTGAATAAGGATCCAAATGGAACCTGGTTCTGCTCTCATGGCGCTCGCTCACAGCCTCGCAAGGGAGTCAGACACAAATGGAACATGAGACACGGTGAGGTTCAACTGCAGGATAAGAGACCTGCACGGAGCATTTTGAGGTCCTTAGAGAGGGCAGTCACAGCATCTTTCTGCACAGGGGAGGCCTGGGCCAAGCCTTCCGAGGAGAATTGGGGCTAACCAGGTGCGGTGGGGGACAGAGGTAGGGGAGTACAGTTTGAGGGGAGGTGGTGCTGGGATTGATCTGTGTTTGTAAAAGTCGGCTCTCTCGCTATGGAGAAGGTGAACAGAAGTGTCCAAGCTTCGAGGCACAAACACCAGAAAGGCAGGGGTACCTCCACCTGCAGGACGGCAACAATGGACCACACGGGAGCCATATTCTTCCCATCACAGGAAGCCAGGAGGTATTTTA